GTTTTCTTTAACATGACACTTTGGGCCAACTCTCTCGACAACGCCCTAAAACCGATAAAACCGATAATGCGAGGTAACTAAAAAGATAATCTACACTTAAACGTATCCGTGCTATTGCTTTTCAAAAAGGTGGCAGCAATAATTATTTATTCATTTCAGATAGCAGCTATTGAGCAGATCAGTATGATTTATGTGCAACTATTGTGAGCACTAATTTTGAACTCATATGTTAAAGACCTGAAAGGTAAGAATTATGTTTAAATCAAATCATAGCAAAATCAAGTTTTGTCTTTACGTCGTGCTCGTTCTCTCGTTCGCCGGCATCAGGCTGTCCCTCCGGGCGCGCGAAATTTGGCTAAAAAACACCCTGTTGTGTGCAAACCAGTCAATGTCCAATAACAAATCTCGAGTAAAGGCTAGGGCGTCCCTCTGAAGCGACGCGCACATGAGCCCGAGAGCGGATAATGGGCAGGCTACCGCGCCAAAAGCGGAGAGCGGGTAAGTATGCTAGACGAATCCAAATATCCACAAAGTCAGAGAGCATTTCTATTCTCTAGCATTAACGTCTGAACCCTCACTGGGACATCGAGATTGGCGATCTCTTGAGACGACGAATGTAGCTTTATTACAGTAAAAGAAATGAAAGGGTGGAAATTCGAGCGATATTGGAGATGATTTAAGCTCCTGTACATAGCACAAGTGGTAGTAAAATGGAGTATGTCTCAGAAAGCCTAAGAAGCAATTTCGTCGCGATTGAATGAGTATAAAGATTGACACTGGGAGAAACATTGGAATTACCACCGCTTATGCTCCGCAAACCGCGTGCTAGGAGGAAGCAAAGATCATGTTCAGGCAGGAGCTCGACGATTACATCACGAGACCTTCTGCTTGGAGCAGACCTCAACATCGTATGGGAAGAGAAAAATAGTGCAGAAAAGTGTCCCGGAAACCACGGATCTGGAACATATACTGAAGTGAACAAATGCATTCTTGAGTTTGCTACAACCTACAACCTAGCATTATTCAACACGTACTACATCAAAAAGCATGAACACCTGATTACTTTTTACGAGTGGAGACTTTGGACACAAATTGACTAAGCACGTTACGATAAGCTAAAGAACATAAAGGATGGAAAAGTTACCCAGGTGAAAGCCATAAGCGATCGCTTCTAAACCTGAAGATTCTAGTTAAAAGACAGTGAAAACATGCAACAAAATAAATCAAATCGAGTGGTGGTAATTGGAATGGAATTTTCTGACTAAAGGTGCTTCGGCCGGCCTTTTGTGAAAAACCGAGCAATCGTAGCCAACCTTAAAGCGTAATGTACATGGGATAACAAGGAATTTAATATTTGGAATTTCGAAGTCGAAGATAAGCAGATTCGATAAGGAAACTAGGTGGTGAAACAATGAGGGTTGAACGGTGATAAAGGAAAGGAGCCAAGCAACAAGCAACAGTATTCATTGCAAAATAATCGACGATGTATCTAAAAGTGCAACACGCTGAAAAAAATGTGTCACAAAAGCGAGCAGGCAAAACTGGAATCTCGCGAGGGAAAATGGGAAAAGTACCACATAACGAGAAGGAGAGCAGTGTCCGCAAAAGATATAGAACACTTTTATCTTATCAAAGGCAAGCTTGGAAAAACGTTAAGCAGCACAGGAGCTATGAACGACGGCGAACGTACGTTAAAGATATGTCGTCCACCACCACATGGAACAGCTCTCATCAACATTTTTACTGTGAAGAGATCAGTGCCACTTATCACAGCAAAGGAAGAATGGTTTGCGACAACAAGGACAAAGAACAGCAAGACTACCGGTCCAAATGACTTACCAAGCTAGATCTGGCCAGGTCATCAAAGCTAAGAGCATGCCCCATGTCTGGACAAAGAGTACAACGACTACAATACGGAATAACAAATTCGATAGACTAGACTGCTTAACATTTCGATTAATCTGGCTGATGAATCACGGTCTGAAGATTTTTGAAAGAGTAATTAACACGAGTTCGAGCCATCATAGAGTTGTCATCCAATCAGTGCGGGTTTGTGAAAAGTTACTGCTGACTCCATCCATACTGCGCGGATAGTGATGGAGAATTAGAATAACAAAGAAAGCTATGCGGTTCTTCTGAACATTCATTCTCCACCCACTTCTGGATCATCATCCTCATGAACATGGAGAAAGCTTTTGGCAAAGTACCTGATGCCATATGGTAGACACTGCGAAAGCACATGGTACCAGAATTATACATTAATTGATGAAAATAATCTATTTTGGAGCCACTAACCATGTGCAATCTGCAGTAGAGCAGTCAAAACCATTCCGCAGAAGTACCGGCGTACATTAGACATCGTTACTCTCTCTTTTATACATCACAGTCATGGACGCAGATGAAGATCTTAAGCGAAAGCCTCCTTATGTTCTCCTGTATGCCACTATGTATTGTTCTTTTCAGAAAACGGAAAAAAGACCTGAAGAAGAATTAAGGAGAGAATCAATTGTAATAAGGTTGAAGCTCAACACAAAGAAGAGAGAGTATGGAAGTAGGAGGTCAAACTTCAGAAACCATATAAATCGACATTAAGTCAATCAAGAAAGTCGCATTTCTGGCGA